TTTCACTCAGAAAAAATGGGTTGTTAATAATTTGCTGAAGGAAGATACCCACTTCCCACATCTACTTCTTTCCAGTCTATCATCATTCTTGGTATCCTGATCATGAATTTCAGAAAATTCCTCCTTGCCTTTCCACTGTTTTAGTTATGCTTCCGACCTAAGCATTTGAAGATGGAAATTCCTTAGGTAGAGAGAAAGAAGACACTGAGGCAGAAACTAAATAACGAGAAGTGTCAGAAATACAGGAGAGAAGATTCTGACAGTAACATCCCTTACCCTACTGGGAAAGTACTCCCTGGCCTAACACTCCTGCCAACTTCCCCACCAGTGAAGAGCTGGGCAGAGGACTGAGTTTGTAATTCCGTAGTACAATATTTTTCTAGCTTGTAGAAGGACCTGGATTCAATTTCTGTTACTGAAGAAGAAAAAAAGACCTAAATGGATACAAAGAAGTAGAAGATACGATCTCTGTCCTTAGAGAATTTGTGGTCTTGTGGTAGACACAGAACTCTCAAAATTAAGTGCTAACCTCTGGATCTTGGGGCTATCTTCTGAAGAGAAGAGCAAGAATTTTGAAAACCAGAGCAAGAACAATGGAAAGAGCTCTCCTTAGGAGGGTAGAGGAGCTGGAGGAACAGAACAATTAAAGGTTGAACAGAAATATGCATTCTCTCATCTCAGAGACTCCTGTAGCAGTTCACATACTGGAAACAACCCCAGGGTCCAGCCATCCCAAGCAGGGAACACTCAGGCAAGCAGAGTCTAAGTAGCCAACATAAAGTGTGAAGTGGACGTAAAAGAACAGTGCAAAAAGAGATCAAAATGAATTAATTGAAAAAATTTGCAAGAATATACATAATATGAACTCACAGGTGGTTTCCATTTATGTTGTAGGTTGTAGACAAAAAAAAAAAAAAAAAAAAAAAAAAAAAAAAAAAAAAAAAAAAAAAAAAAACCCCCCTAAGAGGACTGAAAAGTAGGATCGTGAAGCAGCCTAAAGTTTGGTTATACCTTCCAACTTTTTATACTCTAAGACTTTTAACCACTAAGTATATTACTATATGTGTGATGAAAAAGTAATAAAAATAAACACATTTACATTCAAAAGATAACAGGGGTTTGGAGGAAGCAAGCAAAAAAATGTCAACATGCGCTGGCCGACACCAGATTTGGGGAAACCATGACTGAGAGAAGAGTTCTTATGTGATTCACTTGTTTCCAGACACCCAGCAGAGTTCTGTTGGCGCAAAAGAGACAGAGGGAAAGTAGTTTTAGGAACATGCACCTAAGTAAGTAAGGTAGCCTGGAAGAAGAGCCCCTCACAACCCAATTAGGCCAATCCAGATATGTTTTTCTGACAAAGCTAAGTGAGGTCAGTTTGAGTTGGATTTTACTTGGACCACAGGCTAGGGAGGGGTCCTGGCAGAAACCTAGCTGGCATCCATTAAAAACATTTGGTGCATCCCTGCCTGGTTCTGGCACTATGTTACACCATGCGGCTGAATAAAAAGTGGAATAAGACCCCACCCCTGCTGGGAGATATCCTCTGGCAGTGAAAATGGAGGAAATCTGAGATATATTTCAAAGGGGGAAAAATAGCACAGGCTGGCAAGATTGGATACAAGAATGACAGACCCTGTTAAGTTGGCCAGAAGTCTGAGGTTTCCACCCTGGGAGACTAAAGGCAGGTGGTCATGACCCTGAGCAAAGAGAACCAGGACAAAGCTCTGGTTTCAGGGAAAGGTCGAGCTTACTATCATTAACAGTCAAGTTCTCCCCTGCTCCCTTTTCTGCCAGGGTGGACTGAAGGTCTTCCCTGGGAAGAGACTTTCCTTCCCAGAGAAGGGGCTCTTCCCTGACTCGAACTAAAGAGAAAAAAGGTTAGTGCAAACAGCCCTCATCTCTAAGGCCAATCTCTGGCAAAGTCGCCTGCTGGGCTCCAGAATTCTGATTCAGACACCCAGGAAGTCAGATACCGACGGTGCAGACTTCAAAGGGCACCCAGAAGGGGGCAGTGGCCAGAAGCGCATTCACTGGCCCCTGGGAACCGCCTTCTGGACTCGAGTACCATCCCAGGGCTTGTTGGGGCTGGGGACAAAGGTCCGACACTCGGCAGACATTCCCTTAAAACCGAGGCCTGGAAGAGGAGTTCTGGAGTCCCCCATCTTATTCCAAATCCCTGTTGCTCAGAATTTAAAACCCTGGCTTGATGGGAAGCCAGTCAGAAGGTATAAAAAACAACACACACACACACACACACACACACACACACACACACACACACACACACAGAATAAACGATACCCGACCTCTAGGGGCAAAATGGGTTGCCCTGCCTGAACCCCACCCGCTGGTGACTCACCTCCCTCCAAAGCAGGGCCTGCCCCTCCCGCCCGGTGCCAGGCGAGCCGGGCGGGGCGGGCACCGAGGTGGGCTCCATCCCCGAGTCCCAGGCGGCCGGGCAAGCTCCAGCGTGTCCCCGCGGGTGCCCTGTTTACACCGAGCCCCTGAGCGAGGCGGGGCGGGCCCTTGCGGCACCTCCTCCACCCCGCCCCTCCACCTCAGGCCCTAGTCTAGGTCCGCGTCTTCCAGTCTCCAAATCAAAGCTCGGCCTTTCCCCGTAGTTTCCCCGTGGACCGGAGGCCCCTGCCCACACCCCGAGCAACGGAGGCACAGTCAGGGTTCCCCGAGGAAATCGGGCTTCGGCCCTGACACTGGCTCCTGCAACCTCCAGAGGGGGCCCGAAATGCTAGGGTATGACCCCGAGTTTCAAAGAGCAGAGCCCGGCTCTCCTCGCTCACTGCCCCATCCCACCCTCGACCCCCTGACCTCTCTGGAGTGTGACAACAGGGAGGACCTAAGCAAGGGAGCGGGAGCCCCGGGCCCCAAACCGGCCGGTGGACCCCCGGGACTCCCTCTCTCGGACCGCTTCCCAGAACTCCAGAGCCTGGAGCAACTCGGGCTCCCCCTCCCCAGGGCAGCGCGCCAACCGGCGCATGCGCACTCGCTGGATTGCCGCGTAGCTCTTCCCCCCCCCCACCTTTTTTCTTTCCCCGCCCCTTCCCTCCCTCCCTCCCTTCCCCGTCCCCTCCCTCTCCCCCTTCGCCCCCCCCCCAGCCGCACTTTAGTCCGGGGAACAGCGGTGCGAGCTCCAGGCCCGTGCTCTGAGGAGGCGGAAACGAGGGGAGCCCCTAGAGCTCCGTCAGACCCCTTCCAAAAGCTCCCCCACCCGGTCCACGCCCCCTACCCCCCATCCCGCCTCCTCCCAATTGTGCATTTTTGCAGCCGGAGGCGGCTCCGAGATGGGGCTTTGAGCTTCACCCAGGGAGGGGAAGAGGAGCTAGGAGTAGAGCAGGGGGTGAAGAATTTGGATTTGGGGGCAGGGGCGCACCCCCGTCAGCAGGCCCTTCCCAGGGGCTTAAGAGCTACCTCTTCACCCACGCCCCTGGTGCGCTCTGCCGAAGGAAAGAATAATAGAGAAGGGGGGAGAGGAAGATAAAAGGGGACCCCCCAGCTGGGGGGGGGGGCGAAGGAGAGAAGTGGCAGGACCACAGGGGAGGGGGCTGCTGCTTGCATCAGACCACACCATGCTGACCCCGCCGCTGCTGCTACTGCTGCCCTCGCTCTCAGCTCTGGTCGCGGCCGCTATCGACGGTGAGTGAGATTCCGCTGCCCCTTTGGACCCCTGGGGCACCCCCTCCCCAGCCCCCACCTCTGCGTGCGGATGAGGAAGGGAGACGTGGGAGGGGGTGCCTTTTGTTATCCCAGTCCAGCTGACACAGCAGCGGCCTGACTGAGGGCAGGGATGGGGTTCTGATTTGGGGAATGGGGGCCCTGAGCAAAGGATGGTTCTGGGGGAGGCCCCCCAGCCTAGACAAAGACCAAAGGCCTGGATTGAGAGAAGAGGGCTCCCCTTTTTCTGATCCTGAGATCGAGAGGCCTTCTCTCTTCCTACCTCGGTTGGGGAGGGCCTCTGCTCCCCCTACATCCTCCACCTTCCTGCTCCCCCCATTTGATTTGTGAAGGAATCTGGATTTGCAATGTAGGGCTGCCAAGAGGGGTGAGGGGGGTTGCAGTGGCTTCTGAAGGCTCCAAGGGGAAGCCAGGCCAGGGGTACCCTGCTGAGCAGGGCAGGCTGGCCCAACAGGGCTGTGGGTGGGGAGAGGGAGGGCCCCCTGCTTGGATGTAGTATGGGCCCTGGAACTCAGGCATGAAGGCCTGGGTCCAGGATTCAGGGCTGCCTCTTGGGTCCCGAAATGGACACTTCCCCCTTTTAGAGCCTCTGTCAGTAGCCTGGGTTGAGCTGTTTCAGGGGATGAAGAGGGGGTGGTGATGCTGTGTGACTTTGAATTTTCCTTCTTAATTCCTGAGAGCCCTGAAATGAAGCAAACATCAGATGTCATCACTGGGGAAGGGGACTGGAGAGTGGCCTGGAATGCTGGAGTACAGGGAGGGAGAGGCCCTCCTCCTGCTTCTGGCTCATCCTCAGGGCTGGAAGGAGAGTTGGAGGTTGGATAGGGTTTATGACTATGCCCCACATCCCAGCTGCTTCTTGAACCCCCCTCCATCCCACTCACAGATACTGCTGCAGAGTTAAGCTTGGGCTAAAACTCTGTTCTTTTGGGGAAAAGGGGTGCCCTTCTCCCCATTTTCTGCCAGCTGTTTTTCTTCTTACTTGTGAGTCACTGCTTTAAGCCTTGCTCAAGCTTTTTAAGCAGGGGTCATAGGGGTAAATTGGGCTGGGTCCCTAATTTGGAAAGAGATGAGATATCTTTGCTTCCTGTCATCTTTGCCCTCTCACTAAGGCACAAAACAGTCTCATACTGTCATGTACCCCTCCTCTATCTTCTTTGCCAGGCTGGGATAGGGAAAGTTTTTCTCTGAAACCAAATTATCTATCTCTCTCTCCCCTTTCCCTAAGTTGCTCCGTTGGGGGAGGAGGGCTAGAGAATCGGAAAGCAGCTGTGCCCAGATAAAACAGTTTATTCAGTGTCCCTTAATCATGCATCTAGGGGACTGTCTGTCTGTACCCTCCCCCCCACCACCACCACACACAATTATCCTCCACAAGAGGAGGAAAGAGGCTCAGCCCTGAAAATCCTCCAGACTTGCCCACACAGCTACCCTCTGCCTTTAACTGCCTTCATTATCAGGTTCTTTCCTCTTGCTCTCAGCCCTGGGAGGGAAGAAGGGAAACAGAGGCAGAGAGATTGAGGTGCAGCTCCTCCTGGGAGGGAAAGAGAAAAAAATTGTATGAGAAGGAGCTCCATCAGGAGGCCCATGGAGGCAGGTGGGTAGAGTTAGACAGAAGCAAGAAGTCTCAGGGAAGAGCAAGAGAGATCCCTGGCCTACTCAGGAAGGACCCCAGGGAGCCTTACTTCACATCCCAGACAGGTCCTAGTTGCCACACCATGTTGATTCGCAGTGGTTAGATAAGGAAGACTGAGCGTGTTCTCCTTAACTGTCTCCTTAACTCTTGCTTAAAACTACGGTGCCCCACCTCTGTATCCCCAACTCAGTCCACACTTTTCAGAGTCCCAGGAAGAGGACCTCTCCTCAGACACACATCAGTATCCCTGCTCTGGAAATGAGAATACAGATGCTCTGGAGGGAAGGAAAGTAGAATTTTGTGGGAATGTAGGTTTTCCTCTATCCAGTGGTAACACCCTATCCAGATCCCTGCTTCCTACCTCCAGGTCCACATAACTTCTTTTCTTTTCCAGAGAAGAAACTCTGGCCCAGCTTACCTGATGTATCTTCCTCCTGCTGTCACAGGCTCTGCTCCTTTCTCTTCTGTGCCTGAAACTGCCCCCAGGTGTTCCTTCTTCTGGAGAATTGTCATTCACCCCAGTAGACAGAATTGAATGTACTGTGCTTGCTACTGGGGAAGATGGAGAAAAGATAGGACAAGGGTTGGGAAGAGGAATCGTTGAGAGCCCTGCTGAGATTAAGGGATATTTTGTAGTGGAGAAGGCACCTCCACAGAAAGGGCCTGTGGCCCTTTCTGACTTCTCTTCCCCCTCCACATATCCCTTTGAGCTGGGCTGTTAACCAGTTAGTGGAGCAGGTGGGCAGCTGAAGTAAGTGATGAGGCTGAGTGTCAGCCTCCTGCTGCTACAAGAAGGTCCCCAACTCCATTCTCCCCACTCAGACCCAGACCCTAAATATCTCTCCTTACCTTCATCTTTCAAAGCAGGGATATGTAAGAAATTCATTTGGGGATTATTTTGGTGTTTGAGGCAGCTTCCCAGGCTTTCTTTTCCTTCCAATCTTATTTCTGCTTCATTTTTTCCACTTTTCAAAAAAAAATTATTATCATCTTCGTTTTTACCTTTGACCGTTCTCCTATGACAAGACCTCCCAGAATGTCAACCAGGGCATTGACCAAAGTCAAATCCTGCCCCAATCCCCCGACTCTTCAAAACTCTTTTCTGGGTTGGAATTTTAGTTCAGTGGTAGAGTACGTGCTTAGCATACTTAGAGTCTCAGTTCAATGCCAGCACCAAGCTAAACCCTCTTTCTACCTTTGGGAAGTCCTTCCTTCCTGAAGCCTCATAGTCGTGCTGCAGTCTCAGCCCTGTGTGTCAACGCTCAAAGCCTACAGCTTATGCCTCCCCAGTGTTTTCTCTCAGGATCCTCCCCACCTCTTGGACTGCCCACCCTTCAAGTGCTCTAGCTGGGGGTGGGGAATGAAGGGGGACTTTACTATCCTTAAGGGATCAGGTGCTGTTGAGTTGACTGAGACTGTGAAAGGGTCCCTGACTTTGTGGGGCTCCATGTGCGCCCCAGAGAAACTGGTCTGCCCCCCTGTGTACTGTCCCAGATTTCCAAGAGGTTAGCAGGATCCTGCATTGTTTGGAGAAGGAAGCAGTTGGCTCTGGAGTGCTTCCGGTGCAGTGGCCTCAGGCACCAGTATAAAACCTCCCTGAGAGGAGCTGAGGGATGTGGAAGAAGTGGCAGTTGCCCCTCTTGCAGCTAAGATGACAGTCTTTTTCAGGCTGTGTGTGTGGCTTCCCTGGCTAAAGATCTGGCTTCCTTCCAGCCACCCTTCAGGTCTGGAGTAGTGGCTCCTCTTCTGGGGGTCTGCCTTGGGTCCGACACTGGGAATGCCGTGAGTCTCCTCCCCAAGCCAGAGTACACTGCTCCCACCCTACTCTGAGTCTCAGTGGGATAGTTATTCTCAGGTTCATCCTAGGACAACTATGTCACTGTCTTAGTGACCTCTGGGCTGAGCCCCCTTCCTGTCTTTTTGCCTGTCTACTTTCCTGTCTGTCTGTCATCTGAGTGTGTCGTCTCTGGCCCTCGTGGTTCAGCTGTTATTTGCCCCTTCTCTATGGTTTTATCTACCCTGACTCTGTCCTGTCATTTGTCTTGTTTTCTTCTGCCTGTTTCCACTTACTTCCATCCAGGCCTATCCATTTCTCAAACACTGCCTGGGAGGGGACTTCTCCGGGGTTTTCCCCTTTACTACCTAGCTCCCCACCTTTCTCTGAAGTTGTTTTTCCCCTCCCTCCCTGTCTAGCCCCAAACCATCCAGTACCATGGGGAACATTCTTCCTTTTTTCTTTCTCCTTGCTTCACTAATTCTGGGAATAAATTTTAAAGAGAATGTTTGTGGAAGAAAGAAACTGATACCCATTATGGGCTAAGCAGAGGAAGGTGGTATTTCAGAAGGAAGGAAGGAAGAGGGTTAGACTTCTGGCAGAACTTCCTCCTGACAGGCCAGGAGGAAGAGAGCTGGAGGGAGATGCAGGGAGTTGGTCAAGAGCCGAGAGCTTTTACTTCTGGTGAGCATGGGCCATGTGGGGGGTGGGCAAGAGCAAGGACTTATAATGCCCTGCGGAGAGATGCACTGACCTTTGCTGGCATTTGAGGAGCCTGGATTTTATTTGTAGGGAAAGACAAAGATGATAGAGAGGTCATGGGTCAGGCTAATGTCCTGCTGAGTCAATATTGACTCAGGGTGGAAAGGGAGACCCTTCTCCTCCTCTGGCAGTCCAAGTCACCCTGTCTGTCCATCTGTCCAGGCCGCAGAGCAGAGGCCCAGTCTCAGGAATGACAAAAATGTGTCTGAGCCTCACTGAGCTGCGGGAAGGAGCCACCGGCTAACACCCAAAATACATAAAATTTGGTGAAAAGCTCTCCATTTGGGTCTGGGAGGCCCTTTGCTGCCCCACCCCTCTAAGTCTGAAAGTTTAAATTCCTGCAGCCTCTGCCCCCCAGCCCTGGGTGTCTGGAGTTCTCTGTTCCCTCAGATGTACTGTGTGGCTTCCTTTAGAACATATCCCCCCCACCCCAACCCTCCCTGTCTATCTCAGGGGGGAGCCTGTTTGCCCCTCTGCTGTACCAACACTTGGAAAGCATGGTCTCCATGTTTTCGCTGGGCTCCTTGTCCCTCAAGAAGTACCATCTGAGGCCCTCTCCCCAGCAGGTACTGAGAGGTGGGTCTCCTCCTGTGGAGAAGGGTTCTGCCAGGCCTGGGCTTCTCTGCCTGCCACTCTTCTCTGGCCAGACATGCTTCCCTACCCCACACCCCAGGTCTCAGAGTGGGACAGAGGATGACAGCCAAGGCTCAAGTGGGGGGTGGGGGGAGACTGTGTTGTGTCTGGACATACACCCAGCCCCACACCTCCTGCTCTGGCTCCAGTTTGGTGGCCCTGGGGGCCATGGCTGGGCCAGGCGCCTGGGTTGGAGGGGGGGTGGGCAGGGTTTTGGCCAAGTTAGCATGGCGGTCACATTCGTCTCTAGGCAAAGCTGAGAACAGACAGCCCCTGTGTCCTGGTGTTCTTCCTAGAACTAACTCGCTCTCCTCCTTCTCTCGTCCTTCCCTCCTTCTCCTCCCTCTTACCTCACCACTCTTCTGTCCATTCTTGCCCATCTCTGTCACCTCTGTGTCCCCCGCCTCTTGGAGGGGTCTAAAGGCCATCCCTACTGATCCTTCTTTTCCTTCCCAGCACAAGAGAACCAGCATTTTCCCTGCCCTTTCCCTCCTAAATTGGATTCTGAGTGTTCAGTTACTCATTGCTCCTGTTTTCCCATCCGTAAGGTGAGGCTTGCAACACATCCACCTCTGCAAGGTTATGAGGATCTGAGTGAGTTAATATAGAGAGGATTTGAGATCCGTGGCCAGCAACAGTGGCCATGTTCAGGAGTATAACTGGGCCAGCGAGATAGCTCAGGGGTCTAAAGCGCCTCCTTAGTCAGCCTCAGGGGACCACAGTTTGAGCCCCAGGACCACATGCCTCACCAGCCCCATCCTTAGGGTGGGCTGAGCCTGAAAAATAAAGAAAACAAAAGAAAAGAAAAGAAAAGAAAAGAAAAGAAAAGAAAAGAAAAGAAAAGTATAACCTAATGTTGTGAGGTGGGAGAGTCTGTTAGTTGCTTCTGAACTTAGGGCAATATTATTTCTCCATCTGAACTGCAGACCACAAAGGTAGTTTTCTGAGCGCTGGACTCAGATGTAGAAGGCTCAGTTAAGGGACATGGGGTTGGCCTTGCCTCTAAGCAGATTATAAGTTTCCTCCCCCATCCCTACCCCAGCATGGAGGAAGCTTCCCTTGGCCATGGAGATTGCCCCAAAGTAGGTTATATGTTTCTTTTCTCCCTTCTCCCCTTGAAGGAAATCAAAGACAGGCCTCAGCCTTCTCACTTGAGATTCCTGAGGCAGTCTCCACTGAAGGGACAGGAGGGAAGTTATTTTACATATATCTCCAGGATCCTTGTGCCACCCTGGCCCTCTGGGACTGTGCACCCCCATCAGCCCTCTTTCCCTGGGCCAGAGGAGATGCTGCTTTGGACAAGGGCTGAACCCTTCTCTTCCTTTCACTGCCCCCATCCCCCACTCCCCTTTCTCCAAAAGAGCACATCTGGTTTGTGAATCTCTCATTCCAGCTTTCGGAGTTTGCCAGCTGCTGTTTCCTCTGTCGAGTTCAGGCCAAAAATGGGGGTGGGGGACAGTAGGGAGACTATGGGAGGACCAAAGGAGGGAGACCATGGAATGGAAGGGAGGTTAGAGTGACCACCCCATGACCTCGGCCCTGGTTGTAAGTTCTGGCTGAGGAGGGATGAGGGCACAGACTAAGTCCTGGGTCAGGGAGGAAAGAAGCATGGAGCACGGGGGGAGCATGGGGGTCCATTTCTGGGCTCTAAACATCCCATCTGCCTTTGAGTCCCATTGCAGCCCCCTAGCCCCCCTCAGGCAGCCTGGCTGGCCAGGGGAAGTGTTGGTTCTCCGGCATGCTAACTAGGCTGGCGCACTGTGTTTCCCGGGAAGACCTCACAGCTGGCCCAGTGGGGCAATGAACTCAGCATTATCCACCTCCTCAAGGGGCCTTTATTCCCAGCTCAGGGTGGGGGGGTGAAAGGGGGATGCGGGGGGCCTGGCCACACCACCCTCGATGGGTTTCCTGAACTCAGCTCTGGTTCTGGCCACAGGCCTGAGTGCAGTCCCTTCTGCCAGAGATGGGGGTTACCGAGGGAAGACATCTCGGCATGACCCCCATCAGCTTCCTTCCTCCATTGGAGCCCTGACACACTTTCCTTACACTTCCCTCTCTGCCCTGCATTTGAGTTAGCTGTTCACAACTATCATCCTCAGAGACTGAAGCTCCTGAGGGGCAGAGAGGGACTAGCTAGGGCCCTTCCTTGCTACTCAGTGCCTAGTGCAGTGCCTGGCACAGGGCTGGCATTCAGTGTGTGCTGGCAGAATGGACATGGACTTGACACAGGCCCAGGAAAAGGTGATGAAGGACCAAGAAACTAGGAACCTGGCCCTGGCTGGGGGGCCAGGATCACCACGGAGGAGATGGTGGTGGAGTGGGTAGAGCTGCTTCTGAGCCTCTTTCATGAATAGGAGGTCGGTGTGCACTGCACTGGTTAAGAGCCTAGAGTCAGCTGAATGCAGTTGAGTGCTGGTTTTGTCACTCACCAGTTCTTGTAGCTCCAGGCAAGTGTGGCCCAGTTTCCCCTCTGTGAAGGGGTAGGATGAGTGGTCCTTAACTTTGTCATCCTGTGGAGAAGATTAAAGAAGATGACACATGGAAAGAACTGGTTTACCACAGTTCCCAGCACATACTAAGCCCTCAGTAATAAGAATTGGCTGCTACAGGGAGAGAAGAGCATAGGCTGGGAGGGCAGGCCCGGGAGGTCCCAGATGTAGTACTTGCACAGGTTGGCAGACAGAAACTAACTCCTAAAGGTCAAGCCTACCACCCTCACTGCTGCTCTCCATCTGTACCATCATGAGCAAGTCTCTTGGCACTTCTGAACTGAAGATTTCTGTGGCAAATCCCCCCTGAGGTCTAATCAGCACGGGACCATGTCTTCAGAAAGCAGAGGTGACAGATGCCATGTCTGATCTCTTCTGCTGCATGCCAAGGGTACCCCCTACACACAGTTCCCATCTGGAGACCTGGTGATTTGAGGTTGGGGTTGGCTGGGGTGAAGGGCCAAGGATCAGGGATGTCCTAGAGGACAGAGCAGTAAAGAAGTTAGAAAAGGTCAGCTCTGGGCTACTAGTGGGAGTAAAAGGAAAATGAAGAGAAA